AAAGAAAATGCATATTAGATCAAGGGAAGACAAGGCTTAAAACAAAGGAAAATAAGTCTATTACACATAACACCGACAGACAAAGATATCACATATAACGACAAAGAGAGACGCAGGCATTATACATGAATTGTAAAAGTAAACCGGGGCATTACAGGTACGTATGACACCAAAGGAAAACGGAAATGCCGTTTAAGACAAACAAGACTAGAGGAAACGAATACAAGGCATCATCTACGGAGACACATAAGGAAGAGATTATCATGCATAACTACAAAGGAAAACATGAATGATATATATGGAAATAAAGAAATAAAAAAAACATAAAACAATAAAAACAAAAACAAAGGCAACAACAAAAAACATACGAAAGAAAATAAAAATATTATCTATGGCAATAGTACAAAATACTGTAAACGGAATAAAACAAAACAAACAAACAAAATATAAAACGGACTTTTAAATGGAAAACAAAGTAAAGAAAATAAAGATGAATAATTATTTAAAAAATATAAATAATTATATACCACTGTGATTCCCTTTCCAGGTAAAAAAGGTATATAACAAAATATATATGACTGCCATCCCTTAAACCAGTAAAGGACTCGTGAGAAACGGTATGCAAGACAGAATGCCAACTTCTTATATACAATAAAATACTCACGGCATAAGTTTTGGTCTGGTAGGGGTATGTGGGGAGGGGAGATATGTTTTAAAGCAACTGCATATGATCGCCTTGTGGATTAAGACGAATAAAACTAATGAAAAAATGGAACAACAGATTTTTTTGCTAATGATTAAGCATGAGCTGGTGAGTATCCTTAAAGTAAAGTGACGTAAAATATGAAAATAAAAAAATCCGGTTAGATAGACTTTTTCTTTTTATCTTTAAAGAGTCGCTGAAGCACTTTTCTCGTAGTTTTTTTCGTCGTTTTACATTGCGAAGGTCCGTTTAGGTCATTTTCAGTCTGGTAACGTCTCGGTCTCACGTTTATAGACCAAATGTTGTCTGTAGTTCCACGTCTTTCGTCTTGAGTGAATAATCTGTCTAATTCGTCTTGAGTGAATTATCTGTTCGGTTTCTTTCGGCCAACTGTCGAGTCTAGCCACGTAATAGTCATCAGTCTGTTGTGATTCATAACAAGAATTATGAAATGTCTTCGGTCGTCTTGTGTATTCATTAAGCTCACGTCAAGTCGCGTGTCTTCACCATGTCGCCATTCATCAAAAAAGTGAGAGAAAATATCGTCTAGCGGTCAGTATTTTCATCATCACTTGAAGTCTCGAAGGTCACGTCACCCCGTCACTCGTCGCGTCAAGTCGCGTCAAGTTCATCTCTGAAACTGTTCCTTGTCCACTACTTTCTACTTCGCGTTGACCTTCGCCACAGAACTCGTTAAGTGCAAGCCAGGAGACTCACGACAGGAGACATGCGCTGACCTAACCCACGGTCACATGAAGGATCTTCTCCTGTCGTTCCTTCAGCTTCCTGAGGAGTAGACTCTCTTCCTGCTCATCCTACTGATCTTCCTCACTGTCCACCTGCGTGTACTTCTCAATGGCTTGGGTGAACATCTTGGTTAAGAAATGGATCGGCGAGGGACCTTCGGCGGACCTTGCAGTATCCGCTCGCTTGTAGGATGAGCCAGTGTTGTAGCCTCCTGAAGCGTATCCTCCAGAAGAGTCGTAGGATTGATAGGTGGAGGGTGCAGGGGCGGCTGGGACGTAGGTGGGCTGGGCGGTGTAGTAGGTGACGGAATCCTCATAGTCACCATAAGGTTCGAACTTCTTAATGTGCTCTGGAAGATTTAACAGGTCGTTAGGATTTTTTATTTATGATTTGATATATGAGTTTATCTTAGGTTTTAGTTATTGTTTTTTTACTTACTGATCTGTTTATCGATATGTATCATTTTCCTTAAGCCATGGTACTATTAGAGCCTCAAGCCTTACTGAGCGTCACTTACTGAGGATGAGAGCCAGCAAGATGACGCCCGCGATGTTGAGGCCGAGAATGGGCGCGAGGAAGAACCCGGGCGCCAATCCGCCCAAGATCCCGCCCAGTCCGCCCAGTCCGCCCAGTCCACCTATGCCGCCCAGTCCGCCCAATCCACCCAATCCTCCCAGTCCGCCGAGCCCTCCCAGGCCGTCGCCGCCCCCGAGGTGGTCGAGGCCGACCGGCAGCGGCTTCGAGATCGTGATGGTGTCGACGGGGTCCTTGTTGGTGCCGCCGTTGCACGACCAGCAGCCGGACCCCGAGCGCCCCTGGTTGTCCTCCGCGTCCTTCGGGGCGTCGTCCACCTTCAAAGGTCAGGGGTCGCAGGTTAAGGGTCGGAGGTCAAAGGTCAGAGGTCAAAAGCGACGGAACAGAAACGAACAGATAGATAAGCAAGTGATAAACGCTGATTAAGCAAGCCAAAGGCAGGTAAGGAACAAATGATAAGTATATGATAAGCAAGGAGTGAGCAAGGGAAAAGAAAGTGAAAAAATAAGCGAAGAGGTATTAAGGTTCAAGCAAGTAATAAGCAAGGACTAATCAAGTAATCAAGTAACTGATAATCGAGGGATTGAGATGTGATAAGCAAGTAATAAACAGCTGATAAGTAGATGATAAGCAATTTATAAAAACCTCTGATTCTTTTAATAAAAAAAAACAACAACTGCGATGTTCTTGCTTTGACCGAATCACATTAGTAATACAGTTGCCATAGACCTGAATACCTTAAGCAAGAGGAAAGTTTTGATTGGTTTGAATTAAAGGGAATCGGAGAGTTTATTAAAGTCAGGAAAGTAAAGGAGAACTTGTTTTTATATTTTTTCTCAGTCTGAGTCTATTGTCAAGTCGTGCTGTGCTGTACAATGAGTATTTTAATTATATATTGTATAAATGATAATTATCTATGACTGTTAGATATGGCATTATAAATTAATACTTTTTCTCTTTCTTTGTCTCTTTCTCTCTCTCTCTCTCTCTCTCTCTCTCTCTCTCTCTCTCTCTCTCTCTCTCTCTCTCTCTCTCTCTCTCTCTCTCTCTCTCTCTCTCTCGCTCTCTCTCTCTTTCTTTCTCTCTTTCTCACGCACACACGCACACACACACACACACGCACACACACACACACACACACACACACACACACACACGCTTACAAACAAACGAACACGCAAACACACACACACAAACAAGTCCTATCTGTATCACAAACAACCTTATATCAAACTCAACCCAAGTCTCACCTCGTTGCTTTCTCTTGCCATGGCTGACCCGACCATCAACATTGCAGCGACCATAAGAACAACACGAGACATCTGTTCATGAAAGAAAAAAAAAACAAAACGTGATTAGAACATATGTAGAATGAAAAAAAAAAAAAAAATCGCACACACACAAAAAAAGTGTTTGAAATTATAAACAATTTGTTGCAAATTGCATACTATTGCTATATAAGGATCATACCAAATCCTGCGCATGCCAGACTATTAACGAGTGACAAAAGGCAAGGCTATTTGGAGAAGCCCAGGTGTCAGCATAACATTTTTGCATATTGTTGTTTTTGAAGCTTTACTTTTTTTCTAAGTTATTATTTGGTTTGAAGTCATGGATGATACTCATTTTAATGCTATTTTTATTTTTGGACAAATTAGCATCGACCATTGAGGACTTATCGAGGACATTTTTTCCCATTATATATAAACAGTTAGGAACATTTAAAAAAAAGAAGATAAAACTGCTTAATATCCACAATGAACAGTACACAACAATTTGACATCTCTACTAACATTTTTAACACAGAGAGAAACACAGCAATCATTCTAAAAGAAAAAAAAAAGGCAAAAGATATTAAGAAAGGAACAAAAAAACAAAACAAAAAAATAGCGTAGCATTATCTGCGCCAAATATACAAATTTGCGCGCATAAATTTCATATCTCTTTTTTTTTTTTTTTTTTTTTTTTACTCTACCAAACTATATAGCAAAGCCTTATGAACAAATACTTGGAAAATGACGATTTAATTTTCGTAAGTGACAGGGAATTAACTAGATAGACGGATAAAAGTCTATGAATAATAAGTATATTGATAATAAAAATAGACTGTATAGATAGATACTGTATACTGTATACTTACAAAGATAAATGCATAGATAGATAACTAGATGTACGGATGTCTAGATAGATAGTAAAACACAGACAACGATATGAACACTCACATACACAATATACGAAAGATTTACATATATTAAAAAGTATTTTCGCAATACGATAATATACACAGGAATCGAGGCTTAAAAACGGACGCGCAAACTCCGTAGAGAAAATACACGTGAAATTCTCACTCACTCTCTTTCAATTCACGTCAATAACCAGCAGCGAACAAGGGGCATGTTCAGGCAGAATGACGTGTTATCAGTGTTATCACAGACTTTACGTGTTACTAAAGAATGAGGGGACAGGGGTGGGGGGAAGGAGGGAGGGAGAGAGAGAGGGGAAGAGGAATGGAGGATGGGAGAAGGAGGAAAGGGAAAGAGGTAAGGGGGAAAGGGAGGGGAAGGAAGAGGTAGGGGGGAGAGGGTGAAGGAGAAAGAGGTAAGGGGCGAAGGGAGAAGGAAGAAGAGGTAAGGGGGAAAGAGAGAACGAGGAAGAGGTAAGGAGTAAAGAGAGACGGGGAAAGAGGAAAGAGGTAAGGGGAAAAGGGAGAAGAAGGAAGAGGTAAGGGGGATAGGGTGAAGGAGAAAGAGGTAAGGGGGAAGGGAGAAGGAGAAAGAGATAAGGGGGAAAGGGAAAAGGAGAAAGAGGTAAGAGAGAAAGAGGGAAGGAGGTAAAGAGGAGAGAGAGAATGAGGAAGGGGAAACAGAGAGAGGGAAGGGAGAAAGGGGAAAGGGGAAAGGGGAGGAGGAGAGGCAAGGAGGAAGATATGAAGCCAAAGAGTAACGGACAAGAAGGATAGGAGATCGAGAAGAAGAAGAAAAAAAAAAAAAAAAAAAAAAAAAACAGAACCGGGTGT